AAAAAGCCTTAAATTTCCTTGGAAATGCTTGTCTTGAATTTCTGTAAAATGTCTTATTAGGTACTGTGCTGACTGCACTCTTACTGGACAGCAAGCCTAATGCACCTTTTCTTTGCTAATTAATCTGTTTCTTTTCTCTTCTTTCCCTGTGGCTAATGGACATTCTTTAAGAACACTGGAGGAAAATGTCTACAGCATTGCTCTTTCTCTGGCACAGCGTTACAGTGTGTCCCGTTGGGAAGTTTTTATGACCCATTTAGAGTTCTTGTTTACTGACAGTGGGTAAGCATACAATTCGTATAAGTTTATTTCTATTCCTTTCTTTTCTGTCTGTTTAAGAATAGTCTTGAAGTAGCAAAGTAAAATTTCAATTTTCCTTTTCAACTATAGTAGATTAGTATCTTAGTATGTTTTGTCTTTATGCACCTTTCGTTCACCAGTATTATAATAATAGCCTATTAGTTTTTGCTTGTCACTAATAAAAGCCTTGAGTTAGATACTTTATTATTCATTTACTAAAAGTTTTTATTGAGAATCTGTAGTGTGCTAAGTTCCATGTTAGACACTTATAGTCAAGTGTGAGAAACAGATGATAATCAAATAATGACATAGCAAATGTGAAATTAATATTGTGACAAGACCATGTATGAGAACCTAATTAGGGGAGCTCTAGTTAGGGCAAACTTCTCCTGAGAAATAAAGCTTAAGCTGAGACCTATAAGAGTATGTGGGAATTAAGTACATATCTAGAAGAGAGCTGTTTTATATGTAAACAGAACAGTAAAAAAAGAAAATGCCTGTGATAGAAAGGAACAGGATGAGTATCAGAGATTAGGGCTGAGAGTCAGGGGAGCATGTTATGAGATGAAACTGGGAAAAGCATAGAGCCAGACCGTACATCAAGGATTGTTTAGACCCTCTCAAGGAATTTTGTATTTTTTCCTGAAGTAATAGATAACTATTTAAGGATTTTGGTGAGGGACAGATTTGCATTTTGAAAAGATCACTATGGCTACTGTTTAAGAAAAGATTTTAGGGAGGCCAGGGTAGATATATATAACCAATTAGGGAGGCTATTATAGTAGTGGACTACATGAGAGTTAACTATACCTGGGAACTGCAGTTGTGAAGATAAAGAAGGAAAGGTGAGAATGAGTTTCAGGAATATTTATAAGATGAAATAGATAGTACTTAATAAATTGGATGTGAAGATAAACTAAATCTGAGAGTGTGTCAGAGGTAAGATGTTAAGAATCATATCCAGGTTTTTACTTGGTCAGCCTATTGGGTGTTGATATCTTTCACTAAGATAGAGAATAGTAGATAAGGATAAAGTATTTTGATGAGTGGAAGAGGAAAAGGTAAGGATATAGAGCAGTTATACATATTGAAACATACAAGAGGGAAAGTCAAGTGGCAGTTGACTGTTACAGGTCTGAAGTGAAAAGAGAAGATGGAGCTGGAAATACTGGTTTGGGAGTCATATGATAAATAAACTATGTTGTGGATGAGATTGCTTTAGGAAAGAATTTAGAGTAAAAAAAAAAAAA